ACGGTGGAGCACGGTTTAATACTGACAAAGATTTTTCAGAAGAATTTTTTTTTTAATTCATTATTTCTCTGATTGGAATGAAGTTACATTGTAAATCGTCATTCGTTTGGCTAGATCAGATATCATTTTAATTTACGAGAGTATGAAGCAATGGCTTTAAAATTCACTCATCCGATGGATTCCAGTATGTACGTATTAAACTATACATATATAGGTGATAGACTTAAAATTAAAATGCTTATCGCCAAAGCAAATACGGTTTCAAAATTACAAGCTTGCAGAAAGATGACACCTACGTTGTAGAAATTTTGATTTTAAAAACTTTTCACAAATCATAAGAGTTCAGAGTGCAATATCTTATTTGCATGCAATCTGATAATTTTCACGTAAACTATAGGAATTTTATTATGCAGCTGAAATCTTTGACTGTAGTCTCTTTTAAATTTGAAAGTGGTCAATGAGTACCTCAGAGATTGGAGAGAGAATGTCTCCTCTTAAGGCCGGTATACACGATGAGATTTGTAGTATAATACAAGTATTATAATACTTTTGTATTATAATACTTTCTTGTACACACGCTAATACATATCTTATAAGATTGTAAATAAACTATTATTCCCACGTGTTTTCTCCTGCCATATTTCTCTCTCTGTCAAAATAATAAAAACGATGATAATAAGCTCTGCTTCTAGCATCTTTTTTGTGGTAGCTACAGCTTGATATATTCCACAAGTCCTCTTCCCCTTCCCATAAAACCACGAGTTTTTCGATATCTTTACTCGAAAAGTCGGCCATTATTATTTACCATGTGCTTTATTTAGTAATGATATAAATAGGATGACCCCCAATGTGAGTACATTTGATTGGTTGAAAGTGAAAGGTGAGTTAAGACTTGTATTAGGAAATAGAGCATTGCTCTATTCTTAATACAGTCTTATAAGATTCGAAAAATCTTATGATACATTGTATTAAGAGTGTATACACAGTAAGATTTTGTATTATAATACAAATCTTATAATACAAATCTTACCGTGTATACCGGCCTTTATACACAAACTCTGTTGATTGTATTTCTCTAGCATTCATTGTCAGGGGCGCAACTGTTTTCGGTCACATTATTTAAAAATCTATTTGTCCTAAAAGAGACTAAGAATCAGGTTAAAGCAATATGAGCTGCATGTTTGACATCGGGAAAAAATGTGGCAAATTTCTAATTAACTATTTCAATGACAGAAAAATAGAACATTTATAAACTTCTGTTGTTCATATTTGCTATGAAAGAACTTTTAATATGCTTTGATTGAAGCAAAATTGAATTATTGTCGTCCTGCACAATAATGATTCTCGAATTTTCAGTTGTACAGAAATATTTCTTCTGAAACATTTTTAAACTTTATTTTGGTTTAATTCATCATAAGGGTTTAGATTAAATACAAATTAATCAAAATAACACACTTTACCAACAAAATAAAATTCTCAAAAATGCAGCCCATATTGCTTTAAAAAAATGTTAGTACGAGGGTTGTCCGTAAAGTTCGTGGACAACATTGATCATTACTGACAAACATTGATAAAATATATGAAACTATTAATTTCATTAAATTCATGTTTCATTTGATTAATATGCAAGTTTTCAACAAAAACAAAGCACAAATACAATGTAGTTATAGTTTTATCAGATACAGAAATGACACACACTCATACCCGGAGTACTAAAACGAAAATTCTTCATACAATCATATAATAAAATATCATAGTTTTGCATTCATGAAATCTCTTCTTAGAGTTTTAATTATATAATCTATTCAAGAGTTACTTACATAGCGGTTAAAGTCGATTGCGTGACTTAATAATTTTTTTTGGAAACATATCGTATTAAACCACCTTGCTTGTGCCGTGCCTTTTGCCTGCCTATTTATATAACTATGACCTTACCCTTCCAAGCAATAGCTATAGGTGCCTCCATTGGTGTGTTGTACCTGTGAAAGGTAAGTTTTTGCAAATATTATTGTCTTACTTATCTAGATGTAGCATATTTACTGTCAAAGCTGCAGTATGTACAAGATGTTCCGAGTAGTAGTGTGTCACAGGTTGCAATTATAAGTCCGGATATATATCAGATTTCGTTAGAGTAGTTATGAATGAGGCTTGCGTATTTGTACTTCACAGTTATAGTTTGAGATATCCAATATAATATGAATCATGCAGACGTACATATATTCAGTAATTAATCGTATAATGTACCCGTAAGAAGGAGTTTCATTTAAGAGGGACCGGGGCAATCATGAAAACAAAGAAAAAGGTTAATAAAAGAGTAATTATTGGGGGAGGTATAAACCTGGTAATTAGCTAAGCTTTCTGTAGTATTCTATATATCGTGAAAATTATGGAAGGGGGAAGGATCCCCCCTGGTGTTTACGGCCATGTGGGAAGTTGTTTGCTTATAGAATAACATGGAAATAACGAAAAGTAGAGTCCACAACTCCATTCAAACAATACAAATAAACAGATTCTGAACATGCTGAATTAAACTCTAAAACATTTGAGGTGGAATTAAGTTCAGTTTGCGGAATGAACATCCTCCTATGACCGCGTGTTCCTTGTTATGATCGAGAAAAGCGGAAAATGCATTCTCAAATTCATTGTGAAAATAATGACTTAACAATTAGTATGGAAAAGTTCAGACAGAATTTGTGTTAATGATATGTTATTATTTGCTTACAAGGCCATTGTATCGACCATAGAGCTTGCAAAATGATGACTTTAGAAAAGACTGCCGATATTCTTGTTTCCTCAACTTGTTTGTCAATAATTTACCTATGAATACTGATGAGTATGTGATGAATGTCTGTTAGTTAACATTTCTGAAACGAGACAAGCTTTTGACTATGAATGATATGGAGATAACGAACAGTATTCAATATCAAAATCCATAAAACAAATACAAAATAGAAGCAGAGCAAACACGGACCCCCGAAACCTCCGAGGTCACACCCGCTGTGTGCTTCTGGCCATAAGGGAAAAATAATGGTAAAATCTGTCGTACATTCAGTGTATAAATAATGGACTAACAATTAGAATGAAAAACGTCAGTCAGCATTTGAGTCAATGATAAATTGTATTTGCTGACAAAGAAGTCAATGAAACAAAAATTTCAGCGGTCTCGTTCAAAGTCATCATTTCGCAAGCTCATATTCCTAAAAATGCCTCCTTCATTCCTGTTCTAAATACTCCATATGTAGTGAGAAGTCAAGAAAAGGACTTGGTAGAAAATTCATTGAAATTAGTTACACATGTATATGTTTTTGGTGAGAATTTGTATAATAACGAACTTAATACATTTTAAATCTGTACTAATCACTGCAGCTTTTATGTAAATATAAGCATCTTGATTTTACAACCAATCCAGACATTTTGTAATATTTAAACAAAAAAATTCTTCTTAATTAAGTGTTAAAATATAATTCTCTGCATGTTTCATTCATAGGACCCAATTGAAGGATTGTCAGTAAGGTATATTTATACCCCCCGCTTGAAAAGTGGGAGGGTGTACTGTAATCGGTATGTCCGTCCGTCCGTCTGTCTGTTACGCTTTGGGGTACCCATCCGCAACTCCTCTTATACCACTTGGTGAAATTTAATAAAACTTTCACAGAATCTTTATTATATATTGCCATTGTGACCTCCTATTTTATTTTTTGATCCGACACATATTTTGGGTTTCCCGGCCACAGCAAAACATGGACTTTGCCATTATAATCATATGGGAGGCAGCGACTGTTTAGATTTATATCGTATGTTATCTCCTTTTTCTTACATTTGAATGATCATCGAGTGAGAAGGTAACAATAAGGTTTGCTGGAAGTTTGCTTTATTTTTTCATTAAAAAAAAATGACTTTTCACTTTTCAGGCGAAATTACTATTTTTGGCATACTACATTCAATATGGATTCTTCAGTTTTACTTGTTTACGAAAACGACGGATCAAAAATTGTAGACACAGTCAGGAAAAGCTTAGAACAATGTGACGTCACAGTACACACAACTAAAATATCACATGTGGAGGATCCTCCGCGTCACTCCGCCAGTGTCCTGTTTTTAACTCCGGGAATGTTATCTGTTTTAAAGTCATCGTCTTCACGGGAACTTAATTTTCTAAGCAAAGAGTGCACACTATTTTATCATGACACTGTCAATATTTTCGGGGTATCCGTTCAAGAAATTCTAAACAAAATATTACCTTCATTTTCAAACTGCAGAGTTCTTCCTCTCGTGAAAAAAGTTCGAACACTTACTGGTAAAATTTTGGAACTCATAGATGCAGAAAATGAGGAGATTGATTCCGAGTTCTGTCTTTTACCCGAATTTACGCTTTATCCAGAAACTTCTTGGAAGGTAGAGTGTTGATGAAAATGATAACAAAGATTAAATTTTGCAAATATTATGAAGCAAAAATGAATTGAACTTTAGAAGCTTAATTACACTGAGTCAGAAGTATATAAAGTTATGTTTAAATTTTACAATGAAGCGCATTGAAGTGGTAAAATTTTCTGTTTGGATGGAACGTTTTGAGCTATCTTTAGACACGCCCATTTCTTTAGAAAGGAAAACTCGGTCAAATGATTCAATCGAATACCTGTAGAACAGGTATTTCATAAATATAACATCCAAGTGAGCACGTGTTCGACTGATACATGTGCTATGCTAAATCCAATAAACATGATAAAATCATAATTGTGGACAAATTCGTTGCAATGCGTGTTTTACATATGCGGGTACTCTATACATAGCTCTTTCTTATTTAAAACTCTTAATTTCAATGTAACTTATGTTGCTTGTCGCGGGAAGTGTAGTGTCCTAAAACATTACGACGAATATTCCTTTCTCGTTTCTAAAGAAATGGGCGTGTCGTTATGTTATAATTGACGTTCAAAACATGACTCAGAACGTTTCGTCCAAATGGAAAATTTTACCACTTCAATGCGCTTCATTGTAGCAAGAGCAAGATGTTTTAATTTCATTCTATTGCGAGAGATCGACAGAAGACGAAGTAATGATGGAATCAGAGGATCGGTTATTTAAAGCCACGTGGATTAATCCACATACTTATAAATGCAGATTAGCTGGTAAGTTTGTCATGAAGGACATGTTATACTTTTGCGTCTTATAATGAAATACATAGGAGAGTCAAATCTTTATCCAGACATCATTAATGCTAGTTGTCTGACTTGTACAGTATGTGTTATATTGATCTATGACCTTATTTTTAATTTGACTTACAGATTCTCTTCAATATTTAAATAATAAGATAGAATGGTTAATGCAATGGACAGCTTAATATTCATACTAATAGACCACCTATTTTATTTAAGAGATGTGAGAATAATTCAGTATTGAAATATATCTTACCGTAACTGTGACTTTTGAATTTGTAAATTTTATATCAGTTTGTTTTTGGGCATATTGATGTTTTAAAATTAACATTAAACTTTTTTCTCTCTGCAGACTTTTGTGAATTTGGTAAGCGAACGGTGACGGTTTATGTGAATGAAGAGAAGTTGGGTTCAACTCATGTGTTCATCCAAGACAGAACACAGTGTTTTCTAGATGAAATCAGTGACGTGAGGTCACCTCTACATTACCTGAAAGAGATTTTAGATATGGCACAGGGCAGGGAGGAGAAGCTTCATTCCGAAATGTCGGAGTCTATGATACTTAAAGCAACAAAAAAGCTGCTGAAAACATTGCAAGAAAAATCTATTGTATCTAACAATTTAGGTAATATCAACATTATCACTACTGTTATAATTTTCTACTGCTGAAAGCATGAACCTTTTTCACAAATGTTTTGCAGTTATTTTATTTCAGTCAAAAACGACCCAATAATAAATTTTATATTTTAACAATGTCATAAAAACAACCATAGAACTAAGGAAATACTGCTGTTAAATGGGATTATTGAAAGCCCTGTAACACCAACACATCTATTGGTAATATATGCCTCAGTTTTAGATTGTTAATTTTTAAGCACATAGAGAGATAAACCGATGTGTTAAAGTCTCTCTCTCTCTCTCTCTCTCTCTCTCTCTCTCTCTCTCTCTCTCTCTCTCTCTCTCTGTAAAAAAGGGGTGCGGGTATGAATAGAATAGTATGTTTATTACTCTGAAGTTGACATCAAAAAGATGCTTGAGTTTCTGATTGACAATATCTGTGTTGTATTTGGGGACCAGGTCTTCCAACAATCTACTGGAATTCTCATCGGCACCAACTGCGCTCCGTTACTAGAAGACCTATTTTTGTATTCATATGAAGCAGAATTTGTGAAAATCTTAAACGTGAAAAGAAGGAAACACTTACTGTAACATTCAAGTCGACATTTAGATATATCGAAGACGTATTCTCAATTAACAATGGTAATTTCTATATCGATACGAAATATCCCGTTGAGCTTGAGATGAAAGATACCATAGAGTCTGACACATCTGTTTCATATTAGGATGATTCACTTGAAAAAGACGTTAATGGTAATCTATCAACAGAGCTCTGTGATAAACGTGATGACTTTAACTTTTCTATCGTCAACTTCCCTTACTTATGCAGCAATATATCTTCATGACCTACATACGGAGTATATTTACCTCAGTTGATTCGATATGCAAGAGCATGCTCTACGTATAAACAATTTCTAAAACGGTGTAAATCATTGACAAGCAAGTTGATGACACAAGAATATCAGCTGTCATATAAAGTCATCGTTTTGTAAGTTCTATGGTCGATACAATGACTTGTCAGCAAATACAGTTTATCATTGAGTCAAATGCTGACTGACATTTTTCATACTAATTGTTAGTAAATTATTTCTACACTGAATTGACGACGGATATTTCCGTTATTTCCCGGATTAGACAAAGAGCACACGGTGGGTGTGACCAGCCGGCAGGGGAAGCTCACTCCTCCTTGACATCCGATCTCACTGTTTTGGATGTCTGTGTTTGCTTTGATTCTATTTGTATATTTTTTTTTATGGATTTTTGATCCTGAATACTGTTTGTTATCCCCATATGTTTCATTTCAGAAACTCTTCACAGTAAAGGTGAACAAGATTCTATAGAAGTGGACAACACGTCGAGAGAGGTCAATACTTAAAACGTTTACTGATGTATGGTTGTAAAATTGCATTGGGTATTTTAGAATTGTTAGCTTTATTTGCTTTCTTTTGTAGGAAGGGGAGGTTATCTTCCGTCGTCGACCAACCAGACAGGCATTTAAAAAAAGGAGTATATCAAGTAAAGTTCTATATAACAATATAACTTATGTAAATCATGTACAGTAGTTTAATAACTATAAAATATGTAGGTAAGCAAATGAAGTAGATACAATCATAAATAATAAAATCTTTTTATTTAGATAAATCAGACTTAGATCGTGACATCAGCGAGGAGGAACAGCGAGTTTGGATAGAAAGACAACGGGTGGTTATAAGGAACTTATACCTATGTCATAACTTAATATGCAAACATGTGCACTATTATTGTTAACTGATTGAAATGTGAAAATTAACAGACAGTGACCAAGCTTTGTTGAAACAAATAAGGAGCAGAGAAGAGAAAACACATATCTTTGAAATATCAGCAAAATACTGTCAACATTATTAATAAATTATTTTCAATGAAGAAACTGAAAAAAGACTATAATATAGTTAATTTATAGAAAAAATTGTTTTAAAAAACTGAGGTCCATGTCACGATAGGCGATGCCAAGACAAAACCCTCACTTGGAAGACTTATAGCGGTATTTGATAATGTTTCGTATAGCTGGAAAAGTGACGCAACAACATACAGACGAAAATCTAATGCCCTACACGTAACATCAGCATTTGGTGCTTATGTCTTCAAACTAATATTCTATTTTAAGAGAATTCACTCGGTGTAATAATTTTTTGAACTGAGGCACGGTCTTAATAGATAAGTCAATGTTACAGGGATTTCAAACATCTCGATTAAAATTAGCAGTTACTTCTTTTTAAAATATCCTTGAAAGCAAAGATAACTTACCACTGGATCGTATTTGGTCCATTATTAAAATGTTGTTTTTATACTTACTTGACAACGGAATAGTCCGCCAGTGCTTAGGAACAGCGGCAGTATGGGCGGGTAAAACAGTTCAAAAGTGGATGCTTTTTTATCCTACTTTTCGGATTTCCAGGGGTTCATGTTTTATGCCCCCTGTTCACAGATCTATATCTGATGTGATTTCTTTTAGATCGATGACTGTTATCTTCACCTTTTTAATATTAATGGCAAACTAATTTTTTATATTCGGTTACTCATTTAACAAGTCACAGCCAATACGGCTGCATGGTCTACAAGTGATAATCTTTGATGACACTTACACTGTAATCCGTTGCCGTTGGTGTTCAGATGTCCTTGCTTTTTCTGCTCTCAATTTGTAATGTTTAATGTTAAGCATGGTTATTGTTTGCAGTCTTCACAATTCATTTCCTACGTCTCATAATTATTGTATTTATTTTTTAAGCATAAAGTTTTTAATAGTTTTTAGTTTTCTTGTTTAAGTCCCGGTCAATGTGAATTTATTTTAATCATTTCAGCGCAGAAGTCAACGGATATCTCGTACACTACAACACGTATGCTCGAAGGAGGACTTTCCTTCAATTGATTTAAACAGAGACTTGTTGAAATCCCTGCCTTCAGACTTTTTCAAAAACTTGACTCTGTGAAGTGAAATACAATAACATCCTCACTGTTTATGTTGCAGCAAATACCAATGTCCCTTGTTTCATTGTATTGCTGCTTGGTTGATCTTCAAGCTATAAAAGAATTTCATCGCAGTATGTAAAACTGTTTGGGAAAAGAAATCTTAATCAGGACGAGATTTGCAGATCAATGATAACCCATGGATTGATGTTTGCAAAATTTCAGTTCCTGTGTACATTGTATCAAGACTGCAGTTCGTTATTTTCTTCCTACCATGAAGACACAACCAAAGATGAAAGAGAAACAAAACTTAACTTTTGTGTCAGTCTTTTGCAGTCTTTTCATAAGTATAATTTTCGAAGCAGCTCATACATAAACAGCAGAAAATTGTCTCTATATTGTTTATAAAAAAGAAAAGAAACAGGAATTTTACCCTTTGTTGATCCTACAGTAAGGTCAGAGCATGATAATTTATATTTTGGTATGATGTACTCCGACTCGTGTTTTAAAATCTTGGTAGGTAGGTTGGTACTTTTTTTCTTAAAGTTTATCACAAACTGATAGTTCTCATAAAAATGACAGCTTGACTCGGAAATTTATGGTTGTACGTATTCATTATACACTGGGTAACTAGACATGTTTGATATTTATTGCTATAAAACTTTCAAATGAAAAAAAAGTGTTGTAGAGAAATAAAATACAAAAAAATCATAAATCCAATCAGAATGAATCGATCTCAATTTTCTTGAAAAAAAAAATCAAATTTAAGTCATTAAAAAGTATTGAGTAGACACCTCTTTGGTGGTTCAGTCGGAGAACATCAAACAACTCTTTTTTTATTGTTGACCTTCGTTATATTTTTTTTTTATTGTTGGCCTTCGTTTTATTTTTTTACTTTGTTATATAAGGTATGGAAAATATCATTAACCAGGAACTTAAGACATGTTATTATAATACCAAAATAGCTTCTCATGGAGGATTTACTCACAAGGATCAAGAAATAGAAAATGTTCACTTAAATTATTGTAAAAGAGTCTTAAAGGTCAGACAAAGCACCAGTAATGATGCAGTTTATTGTGAATCAGTAGATTTCCACTTATGCTTGAAAGGAAAAAGAAAATTTTGAAATACTGGGTGAAATTAAAAAACAGTGATAATTGTATATTACGAGCATGTTATCAAGATATGGTTGAAAATAATGATGAATGGATTGTAAACATAAGAAGGAATTCCAAAGGCTTGGATTAGCTGACATGTATAATAGTGATTGCATTAATAATAATACTCTGAACATTATATTTCAAAGAATGTATGACTGTTATAAACAAGAAATTATGGCAAGAATTTGTAATTCTCCTAAATATTTTCTATTTCAACATTTAGTGGATAATGTTGCACTACAGACTTATTTAAGAAAACCATTGCATTCTAAGTATAGAATACCTATCAGTCGTTTAAGGCTATCAACTCATGATTTAAGAATAGAAAGGGGAAGGTATAGTAATATAGAAAGAAAAGATAGAAAATGTGAAATATGTATGTCAGGTGAGATAGAGGACGAATTTCATTTTGTATTAAAATGTCCTCGATATGAAGAAATTAGAATTAAATATATTAAGTGTTATTATTTTAAAAAACGATCAGTATTTAAATTAGTACAGCTACTGAGTTCTACAAATACTAAAGAACTATTTAAGCAGGGTAAAGTTTTGTATTTTTCATTTCAATTAAGAAATGATGTTCTAAATAATAATTAAATGATATTGTTATGTAATTAACACATGTATATTGTATAGCCTGTACAAATCTTATGTATGAATATTGTATACCTATGAGATGTAATGTCTCCGGTTCAAATAAAATACAAAAAAAAAAGTAATTACCTGAATTAATTATCTATCAGAAATCTATGTTAGCCAATGCAGGTTGTAATCTGTTTCTCTTTTTCGTGTACTAAGACCTGTCACTGAAGTTTTTTTTAATGACAATGCAGCGACGTTTCTAATTTGATAATTATATGAATTGTTCTACATTTACAGTAAATCTATTCATTACTTTTAAAATACACACAATTAACAACAACACAGTATTTGGACATAGCAATTACACGTAGCAGCTTTATTGTACAATGTACATTTATGAAAATCCATGATTATATACATATACATGTACTTGTATATAGTAATGTTGGATTGAAGAAAATTATCGATGAAATTAAAAACTATATGTCCTTTACTTAGCTTTGTTAACGAGACTAGTTCTATAGAATATGTGATTTATCAACCAAATATCTGAACGTTGCAACGCTAATTAGAAATCGATTTAATTTTGTCTAATGCGTTCCTCAAACGAAAAAATAGTATTTATTATTAAATTCTCAAGGTAATTATTTCTACATATATAAAGTCATGTTG